AAAAAACAGGAGGAGTGAAAAGGGGGGGGGCAATTTAAATAATTAAGTGACAATTAGCTTCAGAGTTCACAAGCCCTGACTTTACAACTCCGCAAAGGCGAGGTTTCTGGGTGGCTGTGGAGAAACGTGGCTCTTGCACTGAACTCTTTGGGCTCCCTCATCGTCTCTGAGCTGAAGGGATTCCGTGGGATCCCCGAGGGCTCTCTAGCACCCCAATACCCGACTATTTATACCTTCATTACCAGCAGCTCCGGCAGGATCGGCCATCTTAACAAGCCTGTTGGTTTGAAAGGCGAACTTTCCCCCAGCAAAGAAAATATTCCGCGGGAGCTGCGAGACCCACTCGGCCTTTCCAGCATCTTTGTGAAAACAACTGGAGAGTGGAACCGTCCGACGAGAAGGCAAGACATGGTTTCCCAAACTCCGGGACACAGAGCTCTAAGCCGTGCACCTCAATCCCAAAGCGGGAATACGTGACCTTTGGCTGGCCTTGGGTCAGGGATGGCCAGAGAAGGAAGGCTGGCCACGTTTGAGGTCTGAGCCCTTTGAGGGAGGGTGTCCATGGCAACATGGCCACAATAAATCAGGCCTGCAAAGAAAAGTTGCCTGTTAAGCCTCCCAGGTCCCATACACTTCTATCTGCTTCTGGTTTGGGCTCGCCCTCCCCCCTGCACAAAGGGACCTCACTTCTCCCCGTGATGTCCCTGCAAACCCCTCCTCGCCACCCGCATGGACAACACGGTTCATATCGTGTGTAACCCCACGTTTACCAAAGGCAACCAACCCGTGGTTTGCTTGGTTTTCATGGCGGGACATAAGGGACCTGTTGGAAAATCACTTCTAATTTATTTTTAAAATATATTTTTATTGATTTCAAAGAGGACGGGAGAGGGAGAGAGAGAGACAGAAGCATCAATGATGAGAGAGAATCATGGATCGGCTGCCTCCTGCACGCCCCACACTGGGGACCGAGCCCACAAACCGGGCAGGTGCCCTGACCAGGAGTCCAACCGTGACCTCCTGGTTCCTAGGGGGACGCTCACGCACTGATGGTCCTGTTCGGAGGCAGCCTTCTCATCTGCCAGGAGAGAACGTGACCTTTGTCCCTGAATCACATTTAAGTGACATATTTAAAAGCCAGGCCAGCGGGCAGCCGTCACGGTGAGAATTTCATGGCATCGTCTTTTAAACCTGCACAACCGCTCAGCGCCCACGCGGGGTCCGCCTTTTGGAAACTTGGGAAGCAGCTCCCGGCCCAGGGCTGTGGCCACAACCTCCAGGTGACCCTGAGGGTTTGGGGGCAGAGGCCTGAGTGGGGGCCGCCCAGTGACCCCCACGACCTAGCCGCGTTCAGGGAGCGAGCAGGTGGGCAGGTGCCCAAGCCCAAACGTGACCTGCGCTCGGACCTCCCCGCCGCCGTCGTGAGGAGCGCACCCGACGGGACACGGCGCTGGTGCCGCTCTGGTCACGGTCGCGTCTAAGAAGGAGGCGTCGGCCGCACTGGGCGCTGGTCCCCCCGCGCGGCGGC